GGCTCAAAATAGTATGATGCAAATGTTGTCACTTCTTCCACAATATATGCATTACAAATTGAAGCTTCAACACGTGCCTTATTCTTCACTTTTTTCTTCAAATGATATAAGAATCTAGTTGAAATAGAAAGAAATTTATCGGAACATATTATATGATAAACTAATTTGAACTGTATTTTAAAAAAAAACATTACCTCTCAAATGATACATCCATCGAAATTGGACGGGACCGGCAACTTTGGCCTCATAAGGCAAGTGAACTAAGAGATGCTCCATCGAATCAAAAAACGCTGGAGGAAATATCCTTTCTAAGTTGCAAAGAATAATTGGAATATCTCTCTCTAGTTTTTCCATGTGCGATGCTTTTAACACTGTCGAGCAAATATCATGGAGGAAATTGCTTAACTCTGTAATGGCGCCCCATACAAAGTTCGGTAGAACTTCCTTCAAAGTTATTGGAATTAGTCTTTCTATCAGGATGTGACAATCATGACTCTTCAAACTTGTGAACTTGCATTCATTCAAATCAACACATTTTCCGAGGTTCGAAGCATATCCATCAGGAAACCGCACAGATTTCAACCATTGACAAACAACTCGCCTCTGCTCCTTATCCAATGTATAAACTGCTTTCGATTTTGGTCCCCTGCTGCTTGCATCCACAGCTAGTATTGGCCGATCGCAAATATCTCTCATATCTTTTCTTGCGTTCAAGTTGTCTTTTATTTTTCCGGCGACATCCATCACAGTATTTATGACATTGTCGAAAACATTCTTTTTTATGTGCATGACGTCAAGATTATGATGAATAAGATGGGCCTTCCAATATGGTAGATCCCAAAATATACTGCGTTTTGTCCACTTATGTGTACTTCCGTACGCAAAAGTCGTGCCGTGCGGGTTCTCAACAACAGTTGGAAAGTCCTGCACACGCTCCCAAATTTGATCGCCGATCAACCTCAATGGTGAACGCGTTCTTTCAGTCCTATTCTTGATGAACTCTTTCTTATTCCTTCTGAAAGGATGACTTGACGGTAAAAATTGTCTGTGACAGTCAAAATAGCTGGGCTTCTTTCCATGTTTTAATCGAAATGACTTTGACCTCTCCAAACATATCGGACATCCTAAGATCCCAGTTGTACTCCATCCAGATAACATTCCGTAAGCTGGAAAGTCATTTATCGTCCAAAGAAGGGCAGCCTTCATTACAAATGTTTGATCGGTAGAAACATCATACGTAGGGACACCTTCAACCCATAGCCGTTGTAACTCCTCAATTAATGGTTGCATATAAACATCTATCAACTTTTTCGGATTTTGCGGCCCCGTCACGATCAATGTCAAAAACATATAAGGTGTCTTCATGCACGTACCAGGTGGAAGATTGTACGGCGTTAAGATAACTGGCCAACATGAATAACTTTTTCCTGTTTTCCCAAATGGAGCAAATCCATCGGCACAGAGACCTAACCTGATGTTTCGAGGCTCCATCGCAAACTCGGGGTATGTTCTATCAAAATGTTGCCATGCCTCCGCATCTCGAAGGATGACACATTAGACCCTCTTTCGTTTCATGATTTGCATGCCAAGTCATGTGTTCAGCAGTGGCTTTAGACGCATAAAGCCTTTGCAATCTGGGGATTAAGGGTAGATAAAACATTTGCTTGCATGGTCTACACTTCTGATTACGACCCGGCCTCCTGTTAATCTTGTACCTAGGTTGGCTACAGAATTTGCAAGATTCTGCATTTTCATCATCTCTCTAATATATCATACAACCCCTACTCTATACATCAATCCTTACAACCGGAAGACCTAAGTTATCCACTAGCTTTTTCATATCATAAAAATCACTTGGCATGATGTTATCACGAGGCAATGATTCCCGCATTACTTCAACAAAAGAGTTGAAGCAATCCGAACACATTATGCTCGCCTTGATATTTAATAGTCGGGCGTCACCGATAACTTAGTGTGATCCTCACAACTCGCCCATAAAGGTTCATCCGCTTGCTTTCAACACATCCCGGAACTGATTAGATTGAAAAGTTTCATTATAGACATTCTCATCAAAACCCGTTACTCCTATATCTTCCAATTGTGAAGCATGACTAGTACCCACTTGTTCACGTGTAGGAGTAAAACTAGTACTTGCATGATTTGACTCTGTGATAAAATTATAACTAGCTGCATCAATCACCATCCTCTCGTATGGGTTCAATTGCTCATAATAACCACATTCTTCCCTAACTGAAAATTGGTCACTTCTTCCATATCCTTCATCAGATATAAATGGTTCACCATGGGAAGTCCAATTATAATAGTTCGGACTAAACCCAAATCTAGTAAGGTGTTCTCTAACTTGATCACACACAAGAAATTTACCATTACCGCACTTTTTACACGGACACCTTAACTTATTTCCATCCATGAACTCATATTTACTACTAGCAAAGTCTAAAAATAGTTCCAACCCAGTAGGAAACTCATCTGTCAATCCTTGACGTCCAGGTAAGTTCTTATTATACATCCAAGCCCTTTCTCTTTGCATTGTGTCTGTATTAAAATAAAAAATTCTGGTAAAATATTTAAAATATCATATCTATTGTTCTTAATTAAAACTATAAAATTTTGGAAATTATAATTTTTGTTATTCACGCAACAATTAATATGAAATTGCAAAAATAAAAAAAATTACCATGTAAAGAAGACTTACCCAAATATTTGACTGAAATATTGGTAGGAGAAAGTGGTCAATTTGATGAGAATTGCAACGTCCACTTGGATTGCGAGACCTTCAATTAGACACATACCCAAAAAGAATAATCACTTAAGAATCATTTTTTAATAATTTTTAATGTGCGATGGAAACGGAATTCATCCCTCGCAAATTTGCGACGGATTTCCTTGATTCCGTCGCAAATTTGCGACGGATCCTTGATTCCGTCGCAAATTTGCAACGGAATTTTCATTTATTCGTCGCAAATTTGGGACGGAAACTATTTCCGTCGCAAAAGGCGTGGCCGTTCGGCCTCATCCAAAGGCCGGTGAGGTGTCGCCGGTCGTTAAACCGGTGATGCAGATACGAAAAAAAAAAAACATAAACATATATAAAATAAAAGAAATTACAATTCAACGATGAATAGTCACGAAGCTAGCTATGATACTTACCAGTACAAAAGCTTCATCGAGATTAATATGTGCGTGCACGGATTTTGCTGATTTCAGACATATGAAAGAGGGAGAAAAACGAGAGAGAGCGAGAGAGAGAGATAGGGTTGGAATATCACGGGCTAATAAACTACAAATTTGCGACGGACGTGCTTTTTCGTCACAAATTTGCGACGGATTTGGCGACGGTTTTTTTTTCCGTCGGAAATTTGTGACGAAAATTTTGCGACGGATTTATTTTCCGTTGCAAATTTGCGACGAACTTCTTTCCGTCGCAAATTTGCGACGGGTTTTTTTTCCGTCGGAAATTTGCGACGAACTTTTTTCCGTCGCAAATTTGCGACGGTTTTTTTATTTCCGTCGCAAATTTGCGACGAAAATTTGCGACAGATAAAAATTCCGTTGCAAATTTCCGACGGATTTTTTATCCGTCGCAAATTCTGTCGTAAATTTGCGACGGAAATAAACCGTTGCTAATTTGCGACGGAAAATATAATCCGTCGCAAATTTCCGACGGAAAATTTCCGTTGCAAATTTTCGTCGCAAATTACATGTTTTTTTGTAGTGTCTAGCATCTAGATACTTTAGTTTGGTGTAGCTTGGATGGAACATAATTTGGATTAGGAAATTAATGTTGGGGCATATCAGGAAGAGAAATTAAGGTCTATGGCATTGTCTTGTGGAGTACATTAAACCAACCATCTTGTTACATAACACCTACACGTGTGCGTGGAAAGAAAAAGATAAACCCCAAGAGATTGCGGTGGTGAAAGGGTAGAGGGAAAAAGATGAAAGTGAGTGCGTTTTTTTTTTTTGGAAAATTAATGATTTGAAATGTATTTTCCTAAATAGAGAGAGTTTGCGAAGAACTCATTTAGTCTTATTGGGTACGCCGCAATCTGTCTTGAGTCAAGGAGGTCATTTTTTCTTCTAATGAGTTGATGGTTAAGTTATGTGAAATTTTTGTGGGGGTCATTGTCAATTGTTTTAAAAGTTGGGGATAACGTATAAATGCGTGATATGATATTTTAATATTGTAACATCCCGCATGTGTAGGCTAGATTTTGGCTTAAGACTATAGTGTGAGAATGTATAATAAGGAGAGGGAAAAAAAAAGGATCGAAAAGATTTGGACTCATGACCTTCTACTTTGATATTATGCAAAATCTTATGGTACCGCTATTAACTGTTCTAAAAGTTTAAGCCGGTAAATGAAGATATTATTCAATATTTAAAAACACATATTATTTAGGGACATAATTGCACAAAAAATAATTCGAAGAAGTTATAAAAGACCTCTTGGGAGCTCATTAGCCCATTCATGCCAAAGTTGGGCCTACAAAAATAGTTCGGTGACATACAAAGCTGGACAGATATTCATTAGCTTTTCCATTCCAAAAAGCCCAACAAAGCCCATCCTCTATTTGCTCTTTGCAGTCTCCCAGTTATGCCAATCAGCCAATGCCATTATCCCATTTCCGCATGTCTCGAAGAGATCTGAAATATGAACAAGTTCACTGTCTCATGTAAGATATGAAACTTCTCAGTTTTTAGAAGATCAAAGATATTGCTCAAGTACCTGTCCATATGAGTTTGGTCCAACCAGACCATACCTCTTCCCGTCACGAGTCAAAACATTCTATCTTCGGCAGCCCTGACTGAAGACCATCTATATTTTCTTAGGAGCAGTTGAGAAACAATATCATGACATTGTATTTTCTTTGGACAAGTTAAGAAGCATTACAGCAAGTCCTGTTATTTATTAGGCAGCTTACACAAGATTTGGTTCTGCAGCTGTGCGGGTGTGTTTGAAAAGCTAACTTTTTTTCAATTCAAATGCGCACGTGGCATTGCATATGCGCCAGCCCATGGACAATATTATCATTTCATCAAATCGCGCATAGTTTCTTTTACAAAAGTTATGCCTCATCTTGATCTCGAGATTGAGCCTTACCTCCCAAAAACTGAAATGAGTTCCTGGTAGCTGCCGAGCATCTCGGCCTCCATTTGGTCCTGGCCCTTGCTATTTCTAATCCATTTTCGAGAAGCAGCAAGTGATCAAATTCAATTCCTTCATCCTCTGCAGTGTGACCAGGACCGTCTCTCACCCCTGTCGACAGAGTCCGCAACAAACTATCCCTCCTGCATTCTCTTCGGTACTCAATGTTCACACCGTGAAATTCATGGTCTTCCCATATTGACCGGGGAATGGCCTGACAACCATAAGTTTGTTCCGTGGAGTACTGAAACAAAACTCATAGGAGACAAGGAATTGCAGAAAGAAGAATTCACCTCAAGAATCCAATTGATGTACTTGACGTTATTCACGTGATTATTGACATCCAAATCATTCCACCTTGGCTGGGGAACTCACTTGTGTTAGATGAGAGCACAACGAAAATGGAAATGCTACCGAAGTTATTGAGTCGGGAAATTTGAAGTACTTACAGTCAACCCTGTTCGAACATAATCTGCTGTCTTGGCATTAAGCGGTCGCATTTTGGTGCTGTCAATGACAATGATAGGAACCTGGTTCATCGTATGGCGTTCTATCTCCAGCCTTATCTCCTTGGTAAATTTCGCGATTCTCCTCGTTTCCTTGTTCATCATGACTAACATACTGAAGTGACAGAATTGAGGACGAAGTAACCCGACTGAGGAATTAGATCAACCACTTGGGAAAGTGCAAAGAGCGTTTTTCCACAGAATCAGAGTGTAGATTTTTTGCATACCTTACTGCTTTCACCATGGTTTTTCCAGTTTTCAGATCACGGATGAGCCACTCTCGGTGCATACCATTCCGGCCCAGTGCAACCATCCAAGTGTCTACCTCAACAATACTATTCCTGCAAATATTAGAGGCACTGAAGTGAAGTCTGTTCAATTCATCCAAGTGTCTACCTCGAACATCTTCTGGACATGGCAAAGTCATTGCTTTTTGGATATGAAACAAGCATCCGGGAAAGTGCACTTACCAGAGAGGATAGCTATCCACCACAATCTGCAATTTAGGTGTCACCCATACGAGGTCCCTTTTACACATCTCTGGCGTCGAACCAAAACCATCGGCCAGTAACTCGATACTCCTGCAGTGGTTCAGTGCTGTTTCCTTCGCAGGCAAAACAATAAATGAAGCTCGAGAGGAAAGCTAGAAGAGAAGGTTTGATTATATGAGATAGAAAGCGGAAGAGACTCAAACCTGCAGGTAATTCATTAGGGCCTCCATGGATGCTCGATAGTCAGTACCTAGCTCGTAGGATCTGATCGTGAAACTTTGGCGGAAAACTAGCCCGCCCTGCATCAACCTTCCATCAAACGGGTCGAGGATAGTGTCACATTGCCTCATTTTTCTGCAAGGGAGTCTCCATTTAGATTTGGCCGCTGCAGACTTACTTCTGTTACATGTTCTTATCCGCCAGCCCAAACTCGTTGATGCATGAGTCGATGAGAAAATAGACGGTAAAGTCACTGCGGGTGATGTCAAAGTCGCTCTCATGAACCCTTCTGATGAGAACTGAGTGCCGCTCGATGCGATTCTCCTCTTCATTCGCTGTATCAAGCGAACAAATCTATGAACATCTGCGAAGTTTTCAGTTCAATCATTATTCTACATGCCGAACTATGAGGACGGTGTACACAACTTGATACGAATCATTGCATACGGAGAAGAAAGGGTGGAATTTTCATAGTTCATCATTATGAAATCATGCAGCAGAAGTTTGAAGCACCAAAATAAGCTGACTTCAGAAATCTAACGGAGCATGATCTTTCGTATGCATGGTTCGGGGTAAAACAAATAAAGATAAAAGGCATTAGTTTCTGCTATATGGTGATGCATGGACCTTGCGCACTAAAATGTTATAGAAGACTAGTTCGCTTATGGAAAGTTGAACATCGCCATATATGGTGGAAACAAAGACAACTCTATCATTTGTGAGAAAAAGAGAGATGACTAGCAATACATAAGAGAAGACTCTTACTCGGTTCGCAAGTTCATGGCAGGAATGAAGATTGGGCCATTCTTATATAGGCCTTGGCATTGTTCTTGCCGACGAGGCGTAGTCGGCCAATGATATTAAGAGCGTGAATACGAGTCTCGACCAACTTGTACATTTGTATTTTGACACTATCACTTCTTCTAGCTAACTCTCAATACATACGTCATTACCGCATGATTAGAGTGTTTTCGGGATACTTGTTAAGCACTCATAGAATGATTCAGTTTTCAAACTATTAATTGCATATAATACTAGAAAAGCTGATACATTTGAAACTGCAGAATTTTCCCGGCCCAAGTCAATACATTTGAAACTGTAAAATTTCCAAAATTTAGTGTATTATCAGATTCCAAAATCTACTAGAATTTAGGGCCACATACCCTTGAGCCAATTTGGTTGTCTGAGGTGTATTTTCAGTCCCATCCTACAAATTCAGATTGAAAAATCTTTCAACCAGAACCAGAACCTCAAAATCTAGACCACCCCCAATAAAGTTCAGCTTGAAATCAGTTCAGCTCAGTGTGAAGGATTTGTCAGTTCCCGCTTAGATGACGTCGAACAAGGACTTCGATTTGGGTTGCTGCTGTTAGGTATTAGAACCAAGTACACTATAATCTTGTCATCCGACCGGAAATTCTTTGTCTATTAGTTTACCTTTTCCTCTTTTTCTTTAATGGATATTGTCCAACGACCGGCAATCGATAGTGTGTGGTATAATAGTCAGCCGTAGAAAGAGTCGAAATTGGAAACTAATGACATAGTTACCAAACGAGTCCTAAAATTATTGTGCGGATGCCAATTGGGTTCTAAAACTCTCCAATTTCGTCAATGTGATTCTAAATTTTTGCATAAAATCCCAATGTAGTTGCTGACGTGGCGTCCAGTCATCGCATGACGCGAACAACTTTACATGAAACGACGTCTTACATGGACCGTGACTTCAGTGATTTTCCAGTGGCAATTAGCCGGAAGTACTATATTGGAATTTCACGCAAAATTAGAGGATTTAAAACTGAATTGACATCCGTATAATAGATTTAGGGCTACTTTGATAATTTCCCGGAAACTAACAGCCTATCGTTTCGATAGACTTTGCCGAAATCAATTAGTAGGGCAACTAAATCAATGTGAATGAGTGCGGCAGCCTACCGAAGTTCTATTTCTCTATGTATAAAGTGTCTCTAGTGTTAATGTCAAATGAGAGTATGAATTGACTAATGAAAAGAAGGCCGACCACAACCACCACGGTTGGCTAGCAACATATGTTATGGTAAATTCTAATTAATGAAGTTGTCTTTCTTTATACAAATGAAATACCAAAAACGAGGGTGAGTTGGTGAATCAAGAAGTGGCATTTTGACCAAATTTGCCACGTAACACGTATTTGGTCCGTAAGATTAATTCATTAATTTCGTCATCTTCTATTTTATAATTAGTAGATAGGGGCACGATAAAAATGTCCTTTTATTTTTAGCCAATTTGAATGATTTGGGACAACAGGCACCTAAGTGGGGAGGATCCTAAAAGTTGTCTACAGTTCGATTGAGGGTCCACTATTCATTGTATCTCGTGTTATAGTCCCCTCTCTCGTGGTCTCGACAAATCTCGGCTATTAATTAAAATTTTATTTCTATATATCATTAGATGAAATTTGTTTAGACATCGAGAGAAGTACAGAATGTTGCATCGATTACCCGAACAAAAGATTTTCAGCTGAAGAAAGACTTTATTTAAAAACTGGGAATCGACCTAACCGACTATGTCAGGTCGGCATGGGCATAGGGGGCGGGGAATCCGTGCCCCCTGAGGGCCCTGCCTCTGATGTGGCGGATTTTCCTCGCCGGAAACGAACCGCGGGACATGGAGTCGTTGCGACTTGATTTAACTGTAGCACTGTGCACCTCATCAATGTGCATGTAACTCTTGTTTCAAATTACTTATATGACTAAACGTGTGGAGTGCATGGAAAAGGAACGCGAAATGGAGTTCTGCGGACATGAGGCCAAACGTGTTTGGGTGTCAAAAGGTAGGTGATACGGTTATTTCTTAGGCATCATATGCCAAGTTTTTTCACATCAACTGTCTTAATGTATTTGAAAGATTCAATTACTCCGTGGTATTACATCATGGTTGTGAAGTTTCCGGCGCAAAAGTCATGCCCGATCTAGCTCTCGAGTTCCTGGTGGTTCCGGAGCATCTCGGCCTCCATTTGGTCCAGGCCGTTGCAGTTTCTGATCCATCCTCGAGAAGCAGCAAGTCACCTCACTGCGTCCGGGATCATCCCTCACTTCCGCCGATAGGGACCGCAACAAACTATCCTTCCCGCATTCTCTTCGGTACTCTATATTCAATTATTCACGTCGTCAAGCTCATGGCTTTCCAATATCGACTGAGGAATGGCCTGACAACGTTTAAGTTCGTTCCGCACGGTTAGGAGACTTGCAGAAACAAGAAGTCACCTCGGGGATCCAATTGATGTACTTGGCGTTATTCACATGATAATTGACATCCAGATCATTCCACCTCGGCTGGATTATTTTGATTTGTTGCAAAAATAGGCCACTTGAGTCATTCGCTTGAAAGAAAGTGAGCATGACAAGAATCAAACTGCCAGTAGAGCAATCGAGTCAGGAAAGGTGGAAGTACTTACTGCCAAACCTGTTCGATCACGATCTGCTCTCTTGGCATCTAGTCGTCGCAGTTTTGTATTATTTTCGACGTCAATGATCGGATCCCCCTTCTTCGCATAAGCTTCCGACTCCCGTCTTATTATCTCCAAGAATTTCGAAAGTCTCCTTGTTTTCTTGTCCATTGAGACGAATACGCTGAAATTGGTGGAATCGAAGACGATGGTCATCATACAGAGGATCTAGATCCACCATGTCTGAAAAGGAAAAAAGCAATTTCTACACAATCAGAGTGCATATCTTTGACAAACCTCGTTGCTTATACCATAAGTTTCCCGTTTTCAGATCACGGACGAACTACTCTCGGCGCTGACCATCCCACTCCAGCGGGTATATCCATGTGTCTATTTCAATGACACTGTTCCTGCAAATATTGTGCAGAAAATGATGCCCTTGTTACTGTTGGTTTTCTACGGAACATGCATAGTTAAAATTAAATATAAACGCAGCGGAAAATTATAACCATACATGTATCTCCAAAGGCGTTGTTCGTGCATTTCAATCAAAAATCGGAAAGACCATAGGGGTTAAACGAATTACCTTTCGTAGCGTGCCCAAAATGATTTCGGTTCGGATGTTCTTCAGTTCAAGCCCCACAAGCGTCGGACCTCTAGTTCAGACACACCACCAATCGCACGACGAACGGAAGGAAGAACTTGCGGGTAATCACCAATATAATTGTGCTAGCAATCCTGTGACGACAATTCTCCGCACTCTCGATATTTCAGTCACGTCGTCGGAAGAGAGAAACGTATTTTCTTAACTCCGACGAACGCATGATAATGCCCTTAATTGCACCCTTTCTTCGTCACTATTTCAGCAACCGTTGCTGATAGCACTTTATTAGTGGGGTCAGCAACGGTTGCTGATCGCCACCCTTCACACGATCAGCAACGATTGCTGATCGTGTGTGCATAGAGCACACGACCAGCAACGGTTGCTGGTCGTGGATGATGCCCACGGTCGCAACAGTTGCTTGCCGACGTGGGTGATGCACACGGTCAACGCTGACCGTGTGCATGCGCTATCATCATCATTTTCATTTTTTTTAATTTTAAATTAAAACACACACGATCGACAAGGAGCTGACCGTTGTTGACCGTGTACACTTTTAATTAATAAAATTAAGAGTGTAAGATCATATGGCACATTAACATGTGCCACTTTAGGTTTGCGTGTGCATCATATGCACGCACGATCATGACTGAAATAAAATAAAATTAAATCATATTTAATTTAATCTCAATCTGACTAATCGATTGCTATAATTGCAAACATATTTGCAATATTGCATCCTCCGTATAACGTCATTCTAAATTGGTTATGGTGTGTGACATCCCTAGGTTCATCACTGATCTAGTAGTAGGACTTGCACTAACACGTTAGTACTCCCAAGAGAATTGATTGTCCCGATCAACCTCTAGGTCCTTCAAGCCACGATTGACATCTAGCAATATGTCATGGCTACCTAGATAGTGTGAATGTTTTAAGAACATAATGAACATGTCAGCTTTGGTTACAGTGTAATTCAATCCCTCTGCCTTACTATGTCCCGATCGAACAAAGACCATGGAGTATTTGTCAAGTCACCAATTCGATCATATGCACAAATCTAATTGACATACATTTTATATGAGACATGAACAGTTCATTCTCGGTTACAACCCCGGCCGAGGATTTCAATGCAGTGTCAAGATTAGATTGCATAGGACATCATTATTGTACCTTGCATATAACAAGGAGACAGATTCCATTTTGCGCACACGTGTAACTTCGTATGTGAACGAACTATGGCCATCAAGTACAGAGACGAATCAACGAAGCGGCAATATGCGCACCTGTGAACCATAGCCATCCAACATACAAGTCAATACTGTACCTCAGGTCTAAGGATTATTTACACAAAACTAGAGCACGAACTATTTGACATTGACCACGCTAAAAGTTTCCATGTTGCTAATCGTTCTATGCATGTCACGTTCAGTGAACTTGTCTGATACAAGCACCTGTGTTCTAACTCGGGTATCGCAATATCCAATGACTCGTGACTCGTCATTCCCTTAAGTATCCAATACTTATTGGTGAAGTTACGAACACACCGGTCTCAACAGGATCATTAATATCCACTCAATGATCCATCGACCGAGAACAATTTAAAGATTCAGTCTAACTGTGAACCTGTCACACATATTCTTAACGTCTCAAGAATAGGTCCAGTCACAACTGATCTTATGGAATCATTCTTATATTTAAATAATTGGACAAATGAATGAATGCGTCCTTGCCATTAAATAAATAATGTAATTGAAAGTACAACTTAAATCCCTAACATGTAACTATTACATGGTAACTTTAGGGCATACATCTAACAGTTACCATCTAAAAGTGATTCATCATCACTTCTTTGTGGGACACGCCATTCTACCGTCCCTAATATCTGGAATTTCACCTAGCTCAGGAGGCTTGAAATGCTTACGAGAATGACCAATTACCAGAGAGGATAGTTATCCACCACCACATGCATTTTACGTGACACCCACACTAGGTTCCTTTTAGTCATCTCTGGTGTTGAACCAAAGCCTTGGGCCAGTAACCCCACTGCCCGCCAGTGGTTCAGTTTTGTTTCCTGTGCATGCAAAAATGACGAACTGAGCTCGAGAGGAAAGCTAGAAGTGATAGGTATGGTATAAACTGTGAAGAAAGCAGAAGAGACTCGAACCTGCAAGTAATTCATTATGGCTTCTGTGGTTGCTCTAGAATCAGTACCTATCTCATAAGATCTGATCCGGAACCTCTGGCGAAATATAAGCTCCCCCTGCGCCATGTTTCCACCAAACGAGTGAAGTGTGATGTCAGATTGCCTAATTTTATCGTAAGGACGTATCCATTTCGACTTAGATGCTGCAAAGACTCTGTTCATATTGGAAAGAAATATGTCCCAGAAAGGTGGTGGCTCAGTAGTTTTCCTCTTAGGCAGAAGCATTGTGCCATTGTCGCTGTTCCTGTTTCGTGCTGGTTCAACTTGGTTGGCATGCTCTTCGCTGCTTCGGGGATGGGCGTGGGGTTGTGCTACTAGTGTCCCCTTTTTTCCAAAAGTACGTTTGTTGCGTGTTATTATCCGACAATTGACTGGTTCTCTGGTCGATGAGGATATAGACGGTAAAGTTGCAATGGATGATGTCGAAGACGCCACCATGGTCTTCTGACGAGCACAGAGAGGTTCAGGTGTATTCCTCTTTGGTCGCTTGCTGCATCAGATAAACAGATCTCTGAAGAATTACGAAATTTAAAGTCCAATCATCATTCTTCATAGTGGCCTACAAGGATGTTATCATTTATCTTAATATAAAGAGAAGAAAGGGGAAAACTTTCATGGTTTGTCATCACAATTCTGCAGAAGACTTACGAGTTTCGAAAGAGGTGTGCAAACGCTGACTTTTAAATTCGCAGGAAGCATGATTTTTGACTTCCACGGTTCAAAGGAGCGCAACATTAGCAAGGAATACAAAATAGAGGCATGACTGAACATCAACACCACATTGCAGATTGTGATTCGTGTCCCGTTCCGTTTTCCCGAAGTACCGCGTCTACTGCATTTGTTCCCGACAAGACGATTTGAAGTTGCCCACACTAATAAAAGAAGAAACATTGCGGCATTATCACAAGGAACATGAACTTAGTCTGTAAGAGAATCTCAAACAAATTCTACGGCATTGTGATAAGTGAAGACTAACCAAAAACAAAAACCAAATGAGATGAACTATGGAGTTGAATCAGGAGAAAGGGCTTTGTTTCTGCTATATGGTGGTGCATTGGATCTTGCATACCGAAACTGTTTATAGTATAGTAGCTCGGCAAACTACTACAACGAAAGAAGAAGTCGAACACAACGTATCTAAAAAGAAAGACTACTCCATTTTCTGTAAGAAAACTAGAAATGAATGAAACAAGTGAGACAGGTCTCTTACCCTGAGGGAAGGGCTGTAGATTGTGGCATCCTTTGATTTTTATACATAGAGGGTGTTAAAATATGTTTCGAGTTTGACTCCGTCGGAAAAAATCCGATCCGAATAAAGTGAAGCAATTTGAGAATGTTGCAGCCAATTAAATATTGTAGTAAGATTTGTGTAATTTCTTCGTAAGATTGATAGATTATTTCGTTAGAAATTGTGAAGTTAAACGTTATGTGAGATTATTGGGTGTAATTGAGGGTCGGGAGAGTGTTTGAGTGACTCAGGTATGATTGTAATCTCCATTGTATCGTCCGACCTATAATATAATTCTTTGTTGATCTCCTTGTGAATGTAAATCACCCCGACTGAACCATGTAAATTTGGGGTTCGATTTATTCTCTTAATCTATCTATTATATTGTTTGATCACTTGTTTCCATAACAAAGGGTTTTGAGCTCTCCTCTTGTCTAGGAAGCAAGGCTCCTTGTGAGATTTAGGTAGAGATAATTATTCCCAAGAGCCATTTTTAATTGCTAACGGGCATTCGGAATTCCTATTAAGTATAGTTAGAATGCGTTTGGTAACCATTCTGTTCCCGGAAACAATTTCTGTTCAGAAATGATTCTGTTTTATTCCATGTTCGGGAACAATTTCTAAGTATTTGAAGGTATTTGGTAACTGCTCAAAATTTCTATTCTTGGAATAGAAAAAAAATAGAAATGCGTTTGGTAACTGCACAAAATTTCTATTTATTAATAATATTTTGAATATTTTGAATATTTCTTTATTTTTCTTTTTCCCCTTCCTTGGCCATGGCCAGGTCGCCGGTGCTAGCACCGGCGACTGGTCACAGGCTAGGGCTGGCGAGGGCAACCCTCACTGCCGCCCTCGCTAGATCCGACGAGGGCGGCCCTCGCCAGATTCGGCGAGGGCGGCCCTCACCCAGGCCGCTAGTGCTGCCCTCGCCGGATTTGGCGAGGGTCGCCCTCGCCGGCCCTAGCCTGTGGCCGGTCGCCGATGGCCAGCGGCCTGCGACCGGCCACAGGCTAGGAATAAGAAGAAGAAGAAGAAGAAAAATTTTCTTTTTCATTTCTGATTCTTGCTACTAGAATCAAGAAGCAACTTTTTTTTGCTTCTTGATTATGTTCCAAAACTAATTCTGGGAATAAATTTTTGCAAATTTGTGCCAAGGAACAAAAAATTTACTAAACAGATTTCTGTTCCAAAACTGATTCTGGGAACAAAAGAATAAAAATAGTTACTGTTTAGCCGGTTGTCAAACGCGCCCTTAATGCTTTGGGAATTGTCATGCTGGCTTGCTTGATTGCTTATCTAGTGCCCCATGACACTAGTGAATAAAATACTTTATTTTTAATAAGTAGGTACAAAGAGCCCGTTGTATTATTGACACAGAAATTGACAAGATCTTACAATTTAAGTCAATACATTATTGAAGAAAGAAAAGAGGAATAATAGAGGGCATCAAAGATTTACTTTGTTCAGTCCGAGTATTGGTATCTACATCCACAGGAAGACCTAGCAGTTAATAATCCACTATAATCAGAAAAACAGAGTGACAATAGCTCATATGCTCGAGTGTTTCCCACACCTAGATTACATCCAAACTCAAAGTGTTTACAAATAAACAATTTAATTGAACGTAAAGCTCATGATGTAAAATTACCGGGTATTCAAGCCCCAAGCAAAAGCTTTAGGTACGCCAAAAATATGTAAAACTCATAGTGTAAATCCAAGCCCTTATTCTTTTCCATTATATATATTTCTTTTCCTGTGTGGCTTTTACAATATATCTGCTTTGGGAGCCCTATTCTTTTCCGGATACAATATAGGAAATAAGAGTTCACTTATTCAAATCGGTCAAACATGGGTTTCCCTCTATCTCCTAACGGAAAACAAAACAATATCTCCATCTAAATCCACTCCTCAAGTCCACAACTGGATTCAAAGAAGACACATCATACACAAACTCAAACTCGAGACATAATTTAACATAGCCATCGAGACATCTTTCGACAATTCTTTTTGTTAGCTTTATCTTGGAGTATGGGCATTTCATAGTTCAATTTGGTCCATTGGGTATGTTTTTGATCCCATCCAACGAATTCAGATCAAAAGACTCCCAACCGCAACAATGCTCTTGAAACAGGACCCTGTAAGTTCAATTTGCAAATGGTTTGGTTTAGTTAACAACATCGCAAGACTCCGCATGTCCAACATCAGATGGGTCACAAAAATTATGGTACCATCAAAAGTCAATAAAAATTTGCATGAACCTACAAGAATTGGTATTGATGAATGGCTGTTGCTTAACCTCTCTGAAAAAGAAATGTTTACACGGGCTTTTCTTTTCTATTTAATGACCCGGATAATTCGAACTTCTAACTCGGACGCACGCACAACCACCCCGTCCATATGCAACGCGTAAGGCTACACCCAATGTGCGGAAACAAACGCTTTGGTCCATCACGAGACAATTTCACCTTTTGGATATTCAGGCGCCTCCATCATATCGATGTCGGTAGAGATGCCAAAATTTAGCAGGACACCTGATCACTACGGATTGGGACGGTTTTTAACTTCACTTCTATAGTTTTATGTTAAACAAAACTGAACTTCTAAGACAAAAGGAAAACGAAAGGTGCATATGACTAGTTGAAACATGGCTGGTTCACCGGCAAGGTTGTTGTTTGCTCAAGAAAGATAAGCAGTAGCTATCTCATTGGCGCTGGCCGAGATTGTGAATGGATTCTCTCTTCATGATACACGTGAAACGTACTACGCCAATTGAAATTTCCTCATTTCCTTTTTCGTTTCTGTTTAAGCAGTCCTGACAGAACAGCATTGATATGACGAGCTGTATGATCTCGTCAGGTGAAATCCCCAGGATACGTTAGTTATGCCTGATGTCGACCTTGAGATCGAGCTGACTCCTCCCGACATCCGAGGTGAGTCCTCGGCACTTCGGCGATTCTCGGCCTCCATTTGGTCCTGGCCCGTGCGATCTCTATTCCATTTTCAAGAAGCAGCAGGTGATCAAATTCAATCCCTCCGTTCTCCTCGGAGTGTCCAGGGCCATCTCTTACCAAAGTCGATAGGGACTGCAACAAGCTATCTCTCCAGCATTCTCTCCGGTACTCTAGATTCACGGCGTGAAGCTCGTAGTTCTCCAGTATCGAGTAAGGAACGCCCTGACGAGCAGATGGTCGTTCCCTAGAGTTACAGAGATCAAAACTAACTGTGGAAACTGGGAGATGCAGAAACAAGAATCTCACCTCAAGAATCCAGTTGATGTACTTGACATTGTTCACGTGATTGTTGACGTCCAGATCGTTCCATCTTGGCTGGAGAATCCAATCGTAAGGAAATACAGAACGACAAAAGTCGAAATGCCATTAATCAAAGTGTCGTTGTGTAGTAAAAAACCGAAACTTTTCTGACGTTTCAAGTTTTTGGTGAGTTTCCAATGCTGTAGTTAACATAGGTGTCGTGGTAAGTTGTTTGTGTTAGGTAACTGGTTAATGATTTATCGACATTGTAATGAATTTATCAATGTTATAAATTAGCTACTTCAATTTGAATGATATACCGACTTTTTTTACGATTAAGATACTAATATTAGTTTTAGCTTATCATCTCTTATTTGAGTTATTTACGAACATTTATTGGTCATTTTGGAATTACCAACTTTTGGAATAATTAACCGACATTTACTCGTGAAGCTTATCAATTTTTTTAAGTGATTGACTAGTATTATATCAAATTCGCAACTTTAATTTGAGTTAGTCATCAACTTCTCTTTCCATTGAGTTTGGCGACTAGCTTGAGGCTACCAACTCTTATTTCGGTGACTCATGATAACGACTTTCCTACTTCTTAATCAAAGGGTATTGAGTTGAAATGCCATTATAATACTTAATATTAATAGCATGGTAGTACAGTTATTGTCGCTTACCAATATTGTAAAGTTAACAATTCTTGTATCACCGAATTTAAGTTGAGTAATTTACCCACATTTTTCCCATTGGTTAATAAATTTTGCCAGTCGGTTTGGAAATTTTAAACCTTAACAAATTACCAACATTTACTCTTCAAATAACCAACTTCAAACGAAATTTTACTTCCCAAACTTTTTATCCGATTAAGTTGCCAACGACTTTTAAGTACCAATTGTTATGGAGTCAATTAGCGCTTATTGGTTGTTTTGGTACCAATCAACTTGATATTTGTAGGACAGTCACAATGTGCTTTCTTATTAACCTCTACCCGGCCGAGTCCGCTTGTAAAATTTAACAGAAGTTGAAAACTTACAAATCAATATGATATTGGTCAATTCATTATAATATTGGTAACATACTGACCTCTAATCGTGTCTATACAATTTAAAAAGAATTAGCAATTCGTAAAATTCGAAAGGCGTTGATAATTTACCAATCAATTTGTTGTTGGTAGATTCATTTTAATGATGGTAACTTAGCTGTAGATTTATCAGAGTACTGATAAACTTACTAACGTCTACCTAAGTCAATTTGTAAAATCTGAAAAAAGTCAGTACCTCGATTGTCAATTCGAAGCTGGTAAATTCATGACAATTTAGATAACTTACTAACCTCTTACCCAAGTCCATTTGTAAAATTTATAAGAAAGTCGGTAAGTTACGAATCAATTTGACTTTGGACATTGATTTCTATATTGGTAAATTCCTAACTAGTCTGACAAGTGATAATTAAGTAATCACTCATTTTCTTTTTACCAAAGGTATCTGGAACTTATCAACAAATTCAGAATGATATCCAGGAATTACTTACAGCCAACCCTGTTCGAACGTAATCTGCTGTCCCTGCATCGAGTCGCCGCAGTTTCGCGTCGTCCATATCGACGATAGGACTGCAGTTCACTGTATGAACGTCTATCTCCCTTCTTATCTCCTCTTTGAAATATGAGAGTCTCCTTGTTTCCTTGTTCATCATGACTGTTTCCCTGAAATGGTAGAGTTTAAACGGAAGGAAAGTGGAAGGAGCATGTTTGCTTAGAATCAGTACATATTGTGTGGACGTACCATATTGCTTTAGCCATGGTTTTTCCGGTTTTCGGATCACGAATGAACCACTCTCGCCGCAAACCGTTCCTCCCAGATGCAAATGTCCAAGTGTCTACTTCAATAACACTGTTCCTGCAGATATTAGAGGGTAAAACGATGCCGTTGTTACCATCTACAAGTGATTCACAATTCACACAAGATCTTTTCCATTTTGGTTCTAAACTTCATTGAGGGGTGTAAGTTAAGCTATCTTTTGCTTAGGGTTAAAGATCAAGGACTGAACTGAAGCCCATTCAATATATCAAGATACGACCTCATCCCGTCATGGAATCTTTGGAACTTCACCTAGTTCAGGAGACTTGAACCATCTTCTGGACATGACAAAGTTGATGCCTTTACTGTATCAAATATGCTTATCAGAATGGCGAATTACCAGAGAGGATAGGTATCGACCACGATCTGCATCCGACGTATCACCCACACTAGGTTCCTTTTATACATCTCTGGTGTGCAACCAAAACCATCAGCCAGTAACCCCACGCTCTTGCAGTGGTTCAGTGCCGTTTCCTTCACCATGCAAAAGTAATGAAATGAGCTTGAGAGGAAAAGGGCAAGTGAGCAAAAAAAACAAAAAAAGGTAAAGAGACTCCAACCTGCAAGTAGCTCATTAGGGCCTCCATGGTTGCTCTATAATCAGTGCCTACCTCGTATGATCTAACCGGGAAACTTTGGCGGAAAACAAGCCCACCCTGCAGCATTCTTCCCTCGAACAGGTTGAGTTTAATGTCGCGTTGCCTACCTTTTATATAAGAAAGTATTGATACTGACTTAGCTACCCTGTTGATAATGGAAAGAAGCACACTACTGAAATGCGGAGGCTTGGTGATTTTCCCCTCAGGAAGAAGTGCCGTGTCATTTTCATGCTTCACATTCTGCGCTGATTTGACTAGGTTGACATGTAGTTCGCTCTTTCTGAGACGAAATTGGACTCGTGCTGCAAGTGTCCAACTTCTGGGAGGAGCTGAATTCGCCTCTTTTCCAAACTTGCTTTGTTTACATGTTCTTACCCAACAATTCAAATTCACTGATGCATAAGTTGATGAGGAAATAGAAGGTAAAATTGTCGCCGTCGATGTCCAAGTAGATGCCATGGATATACTGATGAGAACCGAGTGGTGTTTTATGTGATTTTCTTCTTCATAAGCTGGATCAATTGAACACTTCTATGAAGAAGTATGAAAGTTTCAGTTTATTCTACATGTGGTACTGCGAGGGCGATACGACATCTGAATCATAACAATAATGTGGAAAGTAAGTAAGGGGAAGGCATGATTTGTTATTGGAACAATCTGCGAACATGAACTTAGTCTATAAAGCAGAGTTGTCGTGCCACCCAATCTGCTAAAGTTCAAGCTTTGACAAGAGAACTCGTGAGGTACACCCACCCCAGGAAAAAAGAATTAATACTTGGCATAATGATAACAGATATAAGCTTCGTCCTGAACAGAGTTCAGTTCCAAACAAATTCTGCAGCATAGCAATAACTGAAGCAAAATTAAAGAAAGGAAAAAAAAGGAGATGAACTCAAATAAGAACATAGCTGCTATATGGTGGTGCATGAACTTTGCGTACTGATGTGGTCATTGGAAAGTAGTTTTTGTTCAGAAAGTCGAACACAGAAGTAAGAAGCAAGTCAAGTCCATCTTTCACTAGAAAACCAAAAAATGACTTAAACAAAGAAGAGGAGTCTCTTACTTGGTTGGCAAGTTTAGGGCAGGACTCAAGGTGTTGTGGCATTCTTATATAGGCATTGGCAATGGCATTGAGAGGGCTTGTATTGTGGTCCTGTCCTGGAAGCAAGGCTCGATCTCTCTCCCAAGAATTGGTACAAACAAGCCATTTCCCAAGAACCGGAAGTCTACTCGTTAAGGGTCGTGCTGACAAGTGTCCCTAGATATTTCGAAAGCATACTTAATACGAGATAACTTGATTTTCAAAAGAGTCGATCACACACAACGTGGAAGAAGCCGACAGATTGAAAACAGCAAAGCTTCTTTAATTGAACGCTCATAACAATTGATTCAAGGTTAAAAAATTTTCAATCCAAACCAGAACTCTTCGTGTTAGTTCAGTTTGCAGTCAGTTGGTTCGGTCATGCAAATGACAGACCATATGCATCAAATTGTACAACCTAGGAAACAGCCGTCAGCTACATTCTTTTGCTGCTCTTTTTTCTTCAAGATGGTCTTACCTAAAACGACGTAAAGGATGGTCTGAAAAAGCCATACAAAAGATCAGAATCGAAAAGTTGGGGACATTTTTTTCGGTAAGAATCAGGGAACTTTTTGACCTTAGATGGGATAGCGCATGGGCCATATTGATAGGGTTGGCGAAATTAGTACGACTATTAAATGCGACTTAACCTACGGATTATTACTTCTCTTCTATCTAAGTGTACATAAGTTAAATCTTGATGAAGTCATCTATCTCATTGTTCGCTCATTTTACGACGAGGAATATCCTTCACCGAAATTTCGATCTTCGATTTTTATTAAGGTAGGTTCTGTGGTTTGACTACTAGAAGAGCTGTGGTGAAACGTAAAGTGTAACACATGATTGTATGGAATGGATAGAAATCTGATGGATTGAAAATGGATCTGGACTAAACAGAGTTTCAAGCTACGTTACAATACTCCTACGAAAGCTGTAAATGACTCGAAAGTTAACTAGAGCTACAGGAAGCTGTAAATATAGGAAGTAAAGATGCATAGGAAACTAAAGTGCAGATAAGCTTGAGTGTTTTTGCATTGTTGTTAGTCGTGTCTTTCTTCTTTGTTTCCTCTGAGTATTTATATCTCCTCCTGTCCTGCAACTGCTCGTTGGTTATTTCCATGTTTTCAAACTTTGAATATTTTGGCGTTTCCAATAACTGCCTTTCTAACCACGTTTTTTTTTTTTTTAGTTTTGTTGTCTGCCAAAACTTGATCTCAACCGCTAAGATGATTTCAAATCTGGACAAGTAACTTCCCATAATATGCTCGTGCTCACTATCCCCACTTCTGCTCGTAACTTCTTGCTGTCGTGATTTACGTGATTGGACTGTGATTCTTCAGTGCATTCTCGAAGCGTGAACCTCCCGAATTTCTGGAAAGTGTCGTTGTCCTGAGGTATAAATATTCCAATGTCCCGAACTATAACTCTCCATATTTCGGTAACTATACATATTTTCATCAACTACCGAATTCGGGACACGATACCATTCACACTTGCTTCTCAACATGTTTCCGAATTTGGTCTAGACGTGTTTCGGCAAATGGTTGATTTCCATTATACACCATATTCGACATTAAAGCCGATTCGGCACTTATGCCGATTCTTATTTTGGTGTCAACACTCATCAAAATGTTGATGGAGAAAAAGTGTGTGCGAGTAGGCGAAACAGTACTCGTTCAGTGGCAAGGTTGTTAATAAGGAAATTTACAGATCGACAAATTTGCCAATACAATAAAGGATCGTATGTTCGTTCATCCTTGGAATTGAGGGAATTTCTTCTAATCCGGATTCCGGTCGGCGGATTATAAGCGTGAGCACCATCTATATTTATATTCAATTGAGTCTGCATGTGGGTCGTGTTCAAAAGTTGTACACTCACGAACTAGAGACTCGGTTGGAGACTGCTCAGATTTGCACTGGAGGAAAACATAACCTTGAATGATTCTGAGTCGGGGTTGAGAAAAGACTCGTGCACGTGCTTATCGTGTGGCACTTGACCCCGCACGCACGATTACCATATGGAAAGTGCGCGGCAAATGTTTGCCACGTCCATATTTGATAGCTTTAGGATATAAATTCAGTCATCTCCATCTTTTCTTTTCTGAGTTAAGCTATAGCAGACAGTATTATTGGAACGAGCCGGATCATTACAAGGTAATGTAACTGTAGTAAAACCTTATAATTATATGCCCTGTTGTTTCAAAACATCCAAAGTGGATGGAAAAATAAAATAAGCCGACATTCTTACGCACAAGGTGGAGTTTGGGTACCCAACAAAATATGTTTGGGTACCAAGAGTTTGGTGGTGCTGTTACTTTCCTTAGCAGCAGCATATGCATCTTGTTAAAGTTCAAATATGCATATATGGTGCGGTGGGTACAAAATTCTGCCTGATCTGTTAAAGCCCTTGCTATTTCTGATCCATTCTCAAGAAGCACCAAGCGATCGAATTCGATTCCTTCATCCGTGTCACCATGTCCAGGACCATCTCTCACTTCTTTCAAAGGAGACCGCAACGAACTGTACCTCCCACAGTCTCTTCGGAACTCTACATTCACACCATGAAGCTCATTGTTTTCCAATGTTGACTGAGGAGCATCCCCCGACGACCCAGAAGTTTGCTCCGTAGAGTAAACGAAACAATACTGTTGAAACTGAAGTTGTGGAGAGAAAGACACCTGACAACCCAGCTGATGTACTTGACATTGTTCACTTGGTAATTGACATCCAGATCATTCGACTTTGGCTGGAGCATTGAGTGCAAAAAATAGGTCACTTGCACTTAGCCCCTCGTAAGAAAAGAGGGCATGATAAGAATTGGAATGCTACTATAAGCTATCGAATAGTGAAAGCCAGAAGCACTTATAGCCAGCCCTGTTTGAATGTAATGTGCTGTCTCGGTAACTAGTCATCGTAGTTTTGTATTGTTGATGTCTATAATCGGATCGCTGTGCATTGCATAGACTTCCATCTCCAGTCTTTATCTTCTTTTCAAGGTTGAACACGACAGTATATAGAAAGACACCTCTATCCGGGAAACGACTCAAACAAAGAAGCGAAGTATCTTTAATTATTTCGCAAGCTTAATTTAAGGACGAAGATTGTGGCATATATATATAAGCCTCGGGCATCCTTCTTGTTGTGCTGTCCTGGAAGCAGGGCTGTGTCCCCAGAACAGGTAGACTACAGATAGCCATTCCCAAGAGCCATCTTCTTTCTTATAAATAGTCCTGAGAGCCATTTAGACACCCTTTTAGTCTATTTTGGTTTTCTTTTCCTTAAACTATGCATGTTTCATAGTTCGATTTGGTTCGTTCAGGTATATTTTCAATCTTATCCAATAAATTTGGATTATAAAAATTTTCGACCTAAACCAGGACCGCAAAACTTAAACCAAACCTGTAAGTTCATTTTGCAGTCAGTCCGAGGTATTGATGGGTGGTTGCTGTTTTTACCTCATACGAAAAGCAATGTTTTCATAGACCTTTCTGGTTTACTCTTCTGACAGGAACCAAATGGACAGCGAGTGGCATATCCTAAGGGAGACAAGTTCCATCATATCATACAAGCTTGGGAACATTCATTAACTATAATTTTTGCAACCCATTTTTCTGATGGTGATCTCACTATTAGATTGAATCATGGGCAGAGCATATAAGATCAGAATAAAAAATGGAAACTACAATTTGGTCAATCAGGACACTTTTTCACCTTAGATGTCCTGGAACCTCGATCGTGTGGATAGAGTTGCTAAAGAAAAAGCAGTTGTTTAATGCACTAATTTATTGAAAAGCAGCGAATTCCCTACATGGCGAGTAAACTGATAACTCAGATCTTCTTTATTTTTCATTTTGTGCCCCAATTTGTGGCAGTCCTTTGGCATTGTTGAGTAGGATGCCCCCAAATAGTCCTTGCCTGTAATCTAACCTAACTTTCCAGGACAGCTACATTGATCATGACAAAAAAATTTCAAGCTGAAGCTATTATCAGGTTTCAGCAAGGTTAGCTCCGAAGACAAAGTTGAACGAGCCGTCTAATAAAACAAACTGCAAAATGGTAACAAAATGAAGCCATTCATCTTCTTTTTTAAAATTTTTTTTTGAGATCTGGTAGTTATTATCTTTGGTGTATTCTCTTTCAACACATATTCAAGCAAAAAACTTTCCAAAGATGTGGAGTGGGATTCTGGAAGTGGTTTGACATTAAGGCAAATCAGCAGCATTTCTCTAATCCTAAGCCTTGACGATGAATCACCAAAATGTATTGCACTCCTGTGCTTCATTGTCAACCCCCACAAGAATGCACATGAATGTGAGTAAAAGGCACGAGGCCGCTTTGAAATAGCTAGGTGCATTCAAACATTAAATGATGAATGACACCAGCAATTTACATCTGATGGAGAAGCCAGAGGGCATCTAGAAATGCTGAAGTACTTCACCAGACAACAAATCACCAAGTTAGACGGATGGTGAGAGACATAATTGTTAACACAATGATATTTCGAGGAAGAAAAAACCACGTTCCTTACTTTTCTGTATTTCCTCTTATTAAGTTTACAATGACCTAGAAGCGTATATATATACAAAGAAAAGAAAGAATCTTAAAAAATATATCCTCTAAACTAGCTAACTATAATCCTTGATTCTAGCTAATTACAATCATAAATATATTTTACAGCTCATTCTCACACTCCCCCTCAAGTTGGTGCATAGATGTCGTGAATGCCCAACTTGTCAAGTGAGCTGTAGAAGATCCTGCTTGATACAGCCTTCGTCAGAATATCTGCCAACTGATCTTCAGATCGTACAAATGGAAATCGAATCACTTTGGCGTCCAAGTTTTGCTTGATAAAATGACGGTCCACTTCAACATGTTTGGTACGGTCATGTTGAACTGGATTATGAGAGATATCAATTGCCGCTTTGTTATCACTGAACAACTTCATCTCGGCTTTAGGAGCGAACCCAATCTCTGACATTAA